GCGCGTGCGTAGGTGACGATCCTTGTTTGTAAACATTGACACGCTATGGCCATATGACGCATGCGCAGATGACGACTCACCCGCTTTAAAAACAACCACACATACGGTCAGCATCTTTTATTTACCACCCGACCAATTAACTATACTTAAAAGGCCAGTAGCCAGTGACGTCACTATTCCTACTGGGTTGTCTCGCTTGTAACTGAGAAAATGGTATGGTAGACAATTAGACTCCTACTCCTTCCCATGCCTTCTCCAATATATATAATTTATTCAAGCTTTGCTGTGATATTATAACACAGCGTGCGGTGAACAAAATGGCCGAAAAGATGACTTACTCGGTCACAATACATCACACTGAAACACACAAATAATCTAGTAGATTGCGATGTATATGTAACTGGATAAAAAAACGAATAGTATAAATAACAATGGTGTGTTTTCTTTCTTTTCTGTAGATGCACTGCCCACAACAAGACAAGAACGGGTTCTCCAGATGAATGTCAACCCTATAGAGACACAACAAGCAGACAATACTCTTCGTTTCACTGGTAACGAAAAAGATGCGACTCTGAAATACGTCTCAACGAAGACAGCACAAGTTTCTGATGATGACGTCAAAGTTGGACAAGTTTCTGATGATGATGACGTAAGAGTTGGCCAAGTTTATGATGATGACGTCAAAGTTGGACAAGTTTCTGATGATGATGACGTAAGAGTTGGCCAAGTTTATGATGAAGATGTCAAAGTTGGACAGGTTTCTGATGACGATGACGTAAGAGTTGGCCAAGTTTCTGATGATGACGTCAAAGTTGGACAAGTTTATGATGATGATGACGTAAGAGTTGGCCAAGTTTATGATGACGATGTCAAAGTTGGTCAAGTTTCTGATGACGATGATGTAAGAGTTGCCCAAGTTTATGATGATGACGTCAAAGTTGGACAAGTTTCTGATGATGATGATGTAAGAGTTGGCCACGTTTATGATGATGACGTCAAAGTTGGACAAGTTTCTGATGATGATGACGTAAAAGTTGGCCAAGTTTATGGTGATGATGTCAAAGTTGCACAAGTTTCTGATGACGATGACATAAAAGTTGGGCAAGTTTCTGATGATGATGACGTAAGAGTTGGCCAAGTTTATGATGATGACGTCAAAGTTGGCCAAGTTTATGATGATGATGATGTAAGAGTTGGCCACGTTTATGATGATGACGTCAAAGTTGGACAAGTTTCTGATGATGATGACGTAAAAGTTGGCCAAGTTTATGGTGATGATGTCAAAGTTGCACAAGTTTCTGATGACGATGACATAAAAGTTGGGCAAGTTTCTGACGATGATGACGTAAGAGTTGGCCAAGTTTATGATGATGACGTCAAAGTTGGCCAAGTTTCTGATGATGATGACGTAAGAGTTGCCCAAGTTTATGATGATGACGTCAAAGTTGGCCAAGTTTCTGATGATGATGACGTAAGAGTTGGCCAAGTTTATGATGACGATGATGCCATAAAAACAGGACATGTGGGTGATTATCCAGATGCACAAGTCATAATTCCATCCAGATCTGGTTTCGTTGGTGATCACAGTGCTGTCGCCTCAGTCAGTGATGACGAATATGATGACAGTGTTCTGGCTGCCCGTGTACAAGATTTTACCAAGACTGCCTATGTGACTGATGAAGAGCAGAAAGTTGGAACCGTTTCAGATGATGATGACGTAAGAACTGCTATAGTTAGTGATGAGCAAGTCAAGGTTGGCACAGTTGAAGATGATATGGTTGGCACAGTTGAAGATGACCCAATAGTAGGCACAGTTGAAGATGATATGGTTGGCACAGTTGAAGATGACCCAATAGTAGGCACAGTTGAAGATGATATGGTTGGCACAGTCGAAGATGACCCAGTAGTAGGCACAGTTGAAGATGATATGGTTGGCACAGTTGAAGATGACCCAATAGTAGGCACAGTAGAAGATGATATGGTTGGCACAGTTGAAGATGACCCAGTAGTAGGCACAGTTGAAGATGATATGGTTGGCACAGTTGAAGATGACCCAGTCGTAGGCACAGTTGAAGATGACCCAGTAGTAGGCACAGTTGAAGATGACCCAATAGTAGGCACAGTTGAAGATGATATGGTTGGCATTGTTGAAGATGATGAAGATGAACCCGAAGAAAAATCACGATTTTCAAGCTTTTTGAAATCATTTGTGCACGCTGTGATTGGCGGAGATGACAAGAAGTAATCTGCCACTCAAAGACAGATGAATGCATAATCATCTGTACCAAAAAAAAATATAAAATTACATGCAGTTGGGACTTTTTTCAAAATCGTTATGAATTTATTTTTCTACCTTGCTATAAGACCTACTCATTACTTTATCTCAATCTTATTTACACACTGGTGTTTCCAGGCTTCATATTAGTTCAGTGGTCACCCCTAATCCTTCGAGCGCCATTGTCTATCTTTTGCACCATCTGCAAAATTGTTGTACCTCTCCGCGTGAAATATTGACAAAAATTTACAAACCTTTTGAACAAAAACTAAAAGCAATATCTGAACTTTTCTGTATGGTAAAAAAAATCAAAAAAATGTGAAAATATTTGCACTGAATTTTTTTTGGGGGGAGGGATATCTGGCTCTCAAAAAGTTAATAGCGCATTTACACGGAAACACAGCACAGGTAATTGTACACCATCTACTCATGACTTCCGTAGCCATGGCAACAGTTACAAGGTTATTCTTCTCTACATCAAAGATGATCTCAGCTAAATGCCGATCAATACTTCATACCGTGTTCCTTTATAGTGTGAAAAAAGTTCCAACTCCACATAGCGCCCTCTATCGCATACCATTCTAAGGATAGTTCCAACATGGCCGATTCTGATCTTTCTATAAGCTCGGCAATGTGTCAAGGTCAACTTTCGTGACCTTTGTCACTGAAGTATTGAGTATATTTCACCCGTGTTGCATTACACTAGGTGATCAACCAATCAAGGCTTCTTCTCAGAATGGAATTTACACTAATTTATTCATAATTGGGTGTTCGTGGTTTCTGTACTTCAATCTTTGCTCGTAGACAATAAAAAAAATTCTTGGGAATTACGTCTCATAGTCTGATCGATCTCATGGAGAATAACAAATATTTGAAGAATATCACCATTTAGTAATTATGACAGTCATTTTAATTTCATTGACAAATATTAACAATTCCTTCAATGTAAACAAATAATGTATTTGTACGTCACTAGGGGTCCCATATCGAACACGATGCGGCGTGACGACCCCCGCCCTTTAAGAAGTCATATTCCAGGAGGCTGAACGTGTTTCACCGTGAAAATGGAGGGAGGAAACTCCTATGTTCGCAGTCCGACCGGAAGTCGGTCTATTCACAACACATGCATGTAAGTAGTACGCACAGTCACTTGGGGGCTGAAAATCAATA